GTTACACTGATATATTGTATAATCGAGGAGATACATTTGTAGTATTCCGATTTGCATGCATAAATAAATTCCAATTAAATTATTTTTGTTTTTCTAGACAATTTCATCTGAAGCTGAATGTTGATTATATTTCCTTTTCGAATTCAATTTTGTTACATTGATCGTTCTTTATTTTTTTTCCATATAACTCAAAAGCGCTATTTATAAATATATTTGTCTTCTAATAATATTTACACACGTAGTAAAGTCACCTCTCCGAGTAGACAGTTTTTTTTGGGAATAAAAAAGACCTGACTACTTTTGTTTGATTAAATTGATGAAATGAATTCTGGGAAAAAGACATCAGGACCGTTTCTCCGTTAGATCGACGAAAATAAATCTGGGAAAAAAATATGCAGTACCCACTCAAAAGAGAGAAAAAAAAGAATTTATTTCTCAATAAATACTTTGTCTACTATTATAAATTGAATTCATTTGATCAACTTAGAATCTGGTGGTTGATGGCTTCAACAACAGTTTATTTATGGCTTTCATTCATGATTATCACACAAACAGTCGGACAAGATATACGATCAGAGGAAATGTCTTTAATATCTGATGCTAAATTTCAATGTGTCAATACAACTTGTTTACCATTCATTAGCGTTATTACAACAGACATTAGGAATTGTCAATTTGCCTGTTTGACTCAAAGTCAATGCACAGCAGCAACTTTTCATCGATCAACTTCAAATTGTGAATTATTTGATAGTATGTTGAACCAAAATGGAAATATGTTGGCTGATGTGGATGCTACTAGTATGAATGTTATTAGTGGAACACGATTTCCACCAGGTCCGTATAAAATTAGAATACATTTAGCAGAAAATATATCGCTGAGAGCTAGAAAAATTTACTTTCTTGAAAAATAATTTCAAGTTATCGAGAGTTAAGAAAACTTAGCAGAGATATTGGACACATCTACATGTAAATCACCAATCGGTTCGGCTCGAAATGACAGAAAAAGAACATTTAGCCAAGCTCGTTTCGGAATCAATTGTTTTTGAACTAAAAGGTATCTTTCGAGATTTATTGTTCGAATTCGCCTTTGAAAATATCTTAGTAAAACGAAATCCCATTAGCACTTGAAACTAAACAATTGATACCATCGAATATTAAAAGAATAATGAAAAAAATAAAATAATTATCCGATGAAACGTCTATGAGTATTATGCTTTTCATATTCATCAATCTATACAAAATATCGATATTTATCAAACAAATTTTCATTGAAGTTCCATGGAAATATAACGCATTAGACAGATTTTTAAGAAATAAATAAGAAATTACAGGATTTTTTCATTAAGATAATGATCACAAATAGTTTGAGGTTAGTATTGCACCTCGTTAAGTCATACAGAAAAATTCAACTTAAACTAGAAATCTGTCACTTTTGAATATAACCTAAATATGTCACATGAAAATTTTCCTGTCTCAAAAAGAATCTCTTAACAGTATAACTAGATACATTGCAATAATGAAGAATTCTGAGAAGAAAATGATAGATTAGACTAATCTAAGTTCATTCAGCTTTGTGATCTTTCCTCATTCAGTTGGAATTAGTTTCTGATAAGAATCTCATCTTAAATAAAAATAAAAGATTTCAAGAAAAGAATAAATATTCAAATCTTATATGTCTCGATCTGGAATTCGAAAAGTTTCTTTATTATAAAATTCATAAGAAATGTAAATTAAGTTGTCAAAACTATTATAATAGAGATTTAATTAAAGTAAATATCGTAGAATTACAATTATATTGGAACTCATTTAAATATTTCCTATTTTATTATAATCAACTCATATTTAACTTTGATACATTGTTAGAGAAAAAGAAAAACAACATATCCAGTCGTTTAGTCTCACTTTAAAATCATTTTTTCAATATAGAATCGACTACGACAACAGCAATACCAGGTCAGTACTATGTTAAATGATTGGTAGTAGCTCAAACGATGGTTGCTAGAAATGGCGATATCTAAAAGTTTTGATTTCAGCTATTGAATGATCGTCATCTAGATAAACAACATTAGGGAACATCTTGTATCAGAAGTTGAAATGAGGCCCAGTTTCTGATGACTTCATCTGATCTATACTCATTTAAGTATTGAATATTCTCGTCCTGTCCAGCAGTATCAGACGAAAACATTGTTGATAAAAAGATTTTTATGTGATAGAACACATTGATCATTTTAGTAAACACTCACACTAACCCACTCTCAAGGTGATCCGAATAATCTTATACGTTGAAGTACTAGTTGACATAATATCGACATGAGACATATCTATCAACACCTGATCTTATGTTTCAGGTCACATTTGTATAGAGTTGAGTAATTTAAATACATATCGTAATAATATAGAATGCAAGCTTCGAACTCGAGAAAGATACCTTTCATCACCGTCAATTAATCCTTGGTGTTTTGATTTTCTCATAAGAAAGATGTGAGAATTATATTTTCTTGCTCACAGTCACATCCTAGCTCATACATACATACATCACCCATCCAACAACGTGAAAGTACATATTGTTTCCAATTTGTTAAACTATGTACAATGACTTTCATTTAAATGCTAAAATTCGATCACTATTCATCATAACCGAGTTGTAGAACAGTGTTTGAGGTTCATCAGTTCGTGACATCGATAGAACTCGAAAAATATCAGTGAAATCGTTTATAACATATTTTCGATTAATTTAGTTTAACATCTCATAATGAGTCTTATCTTAATCATGAAAACAAAGAGAAATGTATTGAAGGTTTGAAATCATTTGATCTGTGATCAATAGATAGACAACTTATGCATATGAGAGATTCGAAATCGTTTTAAGAACAACATTTTTTTCTCATTTTTCTCTCGTGCCTAGAATGGACAATGACAGGAAACATGAGTGTCGCACGATATCTTCACACAGCATCCACATTAGCAGATGGATATGTATTAGTTGCTGGTGGAGAGGCCAACTATACTACTTATCTCAATAGTGCTGAATTGTACAATCCATCAACAGGCACTTGGACAACCACAGGAAACATGGGTGTCGCACGAGAAGAACACACAGCATCCACATTAACGAATGGATTAGTATTAGTTACTGGTGGACAGAGTAGTAATGGTGTTTATCTCAATAGTGCTGAATTGTACAATCCATCAACAGGCAATTGGACAACTACAGGAAACATGAGTGTCGCACGATTTTGGCATACATCATCCACATTAGCAAATGGATCAGTATTAGTTACTGGTGGATTCGGCAGTAGTGGTGGTTACAATAATGCTGAATTGTACAATCCATCAACAGGCACTTGGGTAACTACAGGAAGCATGAGTATCGCACGATGTCGTCATAAAGCAACCACATTAGCAAATGGATTAGTATTAGTTACTGGTGGAAACTACAATGGTTATACCAATAGTGCTGAGTTGTACAATCCATCAACAGGCACTTGGGCAACTACAGGAAGCATGAGTGTCGCACGAGCCTCTCACACAGCATCCACATTAGCAAATGGATTAGTATTAGTTGCTGGTGGAACCTACAACGGTTTTAGTGCTTTAAATAGTGCTGAATTATACAATCCATCAACCGGCACTTGGACAACTACAGGAAACTTGAGTGTTGCACGATATTATCACATAGCATCCACATTAGCAAATGGATCAGTATTAGTTGTTGGTGGAAGCAACAACGGTGATTATCGCAATAGTGCTGAATTGTACAATCCATCAACAGGCATTTGGACAACTACAGGAAACCTGAGTATTGCACGATATGAACACACAGCAACCACATTAGCAAATGGACAAGTATTAGTTGCTGGTGGACTTGGCAGCAGTGGTATTCTTAATAGTGCTGAACTTTATTAATCGATATAGACAAAATGACATTTTCTTTTGTAAACTAAACCATAATGTTTTCATATTGTAATCAAACTATTTAATCATTCATATTTCTTAATAAATTATCATTCACCAAATAATATATGAGTTGCAATAATTTCTCGAAGTCATATTGTATGGTGGTTATTGAAAAAGAATCATGATTGATAAAAGGCAGATCATTATTTGTACAACTGAGTGGATATAGATACAGATATGAAGAATATTAATAATTTGTTGTTCCCAACCACATGTATTCGGATAGTAACGTATGAATAACCGTTCTCAAGTGAATATCAGAGATTAATAATTCAATAACATCTTCAAACAAATCAATTTTTTCCAGCTACACCCTTGTTTTGTCAAATAGTTTGATCTGCATAAATTGTTGTATTTTAGAAAGTGGATATATTTTATGTTCTTATTATGTGCATAATTCTATAGAACGAATAATAGTCTCGACCAAAAAACAAAACATATTGTGAAAAAACTAATAGTTATTACTGACAAAATGAATGAAAAAGAAAATCGAATTTATATTATTGAAAGCAAAAATAGACTAGTGAGAGTATGAATGAGTATTCTGTTCACTCTGGGTGTACTTATAGTTACACTTATGCAGTGAAATTAGTTTCAGTCAATAATATATCTCGAATAAATTGATATCACAGGTAACAAAGTAAAAAGACAATAAACACAAAAATAATTTAGAGGGAGAAGAATGAAAAAAAAGTGTCTGGTTAAATCGACGAACTCTTTTGGCTAGTTGATAACTTATAGAATGGCAAACCACTTTATTCCCGATGTTCAATAGTAAAAAAATATCTGTTTATCAACACTTCATTTCCAAGTCATATTTTGAAATGTACTGATGAAATGAAAAGGTATAAAACGTTTTTCATGTTTGTTCTAAAGAAGTTGAATAACTCTGTTGTTACTCTTTTTTAGGAATATTCTCTTGAGAGTATATCTTGAAAACATGACACAATGAACAAAACTTATCGCTTTCTTCGACGATCTTCTTTAATTGAATTTCTCTCAAAAGAATTAATTCAAAACTCCTCTTTTGATTCTTATCTGTGTCGATAATAAATACTAAAACATCTATTATTTCCATTTTTTTATTTAAATTGTGTTGATGAAGTCTATTATCTAATAAATAACTTGTACTTATATTCAGTTACGTAATAAGTTCGATTTAATCTATACATTTGTTGATGTTAACTATTTCTTTCAACTAATAATCGCACTCTCAAGATGTGGGTGTAGATGTGCGTTTGACTTAATTATTCAGCACCACACCACACTCACACCCTCAAAATACGTCGTACTTAATTATATCCAAAATACTTCTATAAACAATATTTCGTCAGTAGAATTTTATTAGAAATATTATCATCATATTTCATAAAATAAAAAAAAAATGTCCCATCTATTGAATACCGTTATTCAATAATTCTCTGTTTTTTTTTAATATATGTTTCTTTAAGCTTCTGTTAAATCATCATTATAATACAACATAATTGATTGTAAATAACTATCATCACGCATTTTAAGTCTATCAAAATCATTATCATCATCTCTAATACCATTTTCTTCTAATGTTTTATCCATATCTAAAACTTTTCCATCATATTTCCATGTATAACTTGATGCATGTTGATTATATTTTAAATAACGTTCAAGAATTTCATGCATATTTTCTTCTGAGCAAACCTATGTTAAATAAATTTTTTAATAGAATATCAATCGAAATGTAAAAGATTTACTTCAATAATATGATCTTGTAATGTAAGAACATTAAGAATACGAATAGTACGAACTTTTTTTGATAAAACACCAATTTTATACTTTGGATCTTTCCACCATGGAATACCATAGTCATTAGCAAAATCACTTGATGGAAATGGTGGTGCTACATGAATAAAACGACCATGAGGAGTATATGGAAGTAAACAATGTGTAACTGGGTCAATGTGATGACGAATCTTTATTCAACAAAAAAATAGAATTGTTTTATTCAATGAAAATATTCTACTATATATGGTAGAAAGAGTAAATATAGGTAATGGTTTATCAAAAACTTCGCAATAGAAAATAAATATCTTGCAAAATTTAGCTTAAAAACTAATATATTTGTGCAAAAAAAATTTAATTTATGATATGAATATTTTTCTAAAGAATTAGAGAGAAATATTTTGGAAAAAAGATAAATGTTTCTATTTTTTATTTAACTTACATCATTAGTACGAGGATCGAACCAATGTGAAATATCCAAACCAGCTACATCAATAATTGGTTTGAGAAGAAC